TAGGAAGTTAGTGTTGGTGCTGTGCTGCTTCCAGCAGATGGCTCTGTGCTTATGCTGAGGAACAGTGGGGAAGGGGAATGGTACCAGCTCCTTTGTTCCAAGAGGCATCTCTGTGAATGCGATCTCTCTGGAATATGCTTCAAGATAACCAAGAAGAGCAAATAATCTCACCCCTGTGTGCTTCAGGTACTCTTCAGATTGCTGTTTCCATGCTGTATGCCCCTGGCTTGTTTGTCAGCCTTCTCTCCAGGAGCAGAACAGTGCCCTCTGGGCTCTATCCGCCAGGTCTGCTGACCTTTAAACTCTAAACTTTATGCCCCGCTGGTTGCAAGAACAGATGAAGTTCAACCTCTCTTGTTTTCCAAGTCAGTAACTTTGGAGAAACTTTCTCCTTGTGCATTCCCCTGTGTGCTCTTCTCTCTCGTGCCCTTCTCTGTGACCACAGCACCCTCCCTTCTGCAGCACCTGTGACCTATTTCTCCCCTATACCAAATCTGCATTTCCTACCTTCTTCGATGTGGCCTCTTCTCTCTCGTTAGCTGTGGAGTTTGTTCTGTCAGTCTTCAAGTTGGTTTCTGGGGGTATTTAGGAGGATTTGATAGTAGCTGTGTTCATGGGATGAGGTGAGCCTAGGGTCTGCCTATTTTGCTGCCATATTCCTCTCCCCTGATATAAGGGGATTTTGAACTGTTTATCTGGATGGTATCACTTTTCTCTAGAGTTTATTGTTAGGGCTCGAAGTTATTTCTAATGCCATTCTTTCCTCTGATGTATGGTTACAATGGCAGCTGGATTGAAGAGCCAAGGCTGAATGGAAACACTGTGATAATTCTATCTTCAGTTCCCCAGCCATGCTCCCTCTCAAATTATCCTTCATGAGACAATTTCTCTGTCCACTGCACTCTCCAAAAAGAGGTACCTGATAAAAGGACATCACAACATTATCTTTTTCTCAACGTCATCATGGTTCTCTTTTTGTTCAGGTACCATATGACTAAAGACTAGGAATCAGAGTAATGTATTTATAATATTGTAATAACAACCTACTCAGCCATGTAAGTAAAACATGTATTGAAGTATTAAAATATATAGACTAATAGATGGGTCACCTTATATCAGTTTTGCATAATCTATACCTCGCCAGGTCCATGAACCTTACAGAAAAAGTAACAACATTTTTGTATGTATGTTAGTATTTAAGGAAAGAAGTTCAGAGTTGTTGTTACTTTTATCATATGGTTCTCTGGCCAAAATAGTTTAAAAACCACTTAATGAGGATAACTATTTGTCGATTCTCAGCTACCCAAGAGAACATTCAGCATTAAAATCGTGATAAATATAATTTTCTTTAATAATTCCAGAGGTACCATGGACTGTTATAGTGCCTTAGAGCTCTTAAAATTAATGTCAATCATGATTATGTAGAATTTTTAAAATTTTAAATTATTTGAGCTTTCCTAATTCATTCTATCAAATTGAAACCGTTTAGCATAACAATTATTTAGATTTTGAATAAATGTAATTTATGCAAGTGTCTCCTTTGCCACTAATTACTAGATATGACACTCTAGAAAAATCAATTAACCTTTTCAAATTTCAATATTTTTGGTGGTAAAGTAGGCGTATCCATGTACTCTGTACAATTTAGGTTCTGTTGGATAAGGAGACAGAGAAGTAATTTCACAGGGGACCAGTGGTTTAAATGCTTTTAAACCAGGGATTTTAGTTCCTGACCTGGATTCAGACTCTGAAACAATCTTGATTCAGAGACATGAAGTTCTACAGTAGCCATCTAAATAGTCTTCCTACTCCCACATTTCCCTCACCAGAGTTATTTTTCCAAGCAGGAGTCTGCATGGCCCTTAAAAAATGTAAGTGAGATCATGCCATTCTGCTCAAAGCTCTCCACCAGCTTCCCATCTCATCCCAAGAAGAAGCTGAAGTTGCAATTGTGTGCAACCTTACTATTCAAGGTTAAGTCTGCAGACCAACAGCATCAGCTGAATCTCAAACCCTATCGAAGAACTACTAAATCAGAATCTTTATTCTACCAAGAGCTTCAGGTGACATAAATGTCCACCAAAGTTTGAGAAACAACCTTGACAGCCTCTGCTATTCCCCCTTACATTTTCCCCTTGCTTGTCCTACTTCAGCCACACAGGCCTCCCTGCTGTTTACCCACATGCCAGGTTTCCTCCTGCTGCAGGAACTTTATATTCATTATTCAATCAGCACAGAAGCTTTCTTCCCCAGGGTCTGCATGGCTCTCTCCTTCATCTCTTTCAGTCTTTCCCAAGGGTCATCATATGGGTGAGCCATCCCCTCATAACCCTACTTTAAACTGCAACCCTTCCTCCCTGCAACATACTCCTTATGTGTCTTCAGAAGGTTATTTTTCTATATAGCACTTAACATTATCTGGAATATTGTATCATTATTTATTTCTTTATTATCTGTCTTCTCCTCCTAAGATCCAAGAGAACAGAGATTTTTTTGTCTCTACTCTATCTGCATTACCTAGAAAAACCACCAATATATATTTTTTAAATTCATGATTCAGGTGAGCTCACACACATAAAGCTAAACACAGTCTGTTCATGGTAGCCCCTCAATAATTGATATCCATGATCAGTGTTATGTTTTGCTGTAAATCAAAAGTATTTCTGCTAGGCAGAAGAGTACAGTGGTCTCTTGGAGATCAAAAATGACATTTGGACAATTGTCCAAATAATACTGTGAAAAGTTAAAAAGAAGTTATTATAATAACCCTTAGTAGATAGTAAACTTCATGGGTAAAAATTGTGCACATATATTTTTGTTTAATTTCATTTTGTTTTTTTCTCACTGAAGTAGCCCCATTACATGGCACAGTACCAGGCCAATGCAGACACTAAATAATAAATAAACAAATATAACTTTAAACATACAAAAAAGTAGTGTCTAATAATTTGTCTTTGACCCTTTGGCAACCTTTGATAACCCTAGCCTGGCTGCCTGACTGGTCTTTTTCTGATTTTCTTTTACTAGAAAAAAGAAAAATCTTTTACTAGAAAATTTTACTTCTTTTATTGGAAAACTTCAAATACTAGTAAAGTCAACATTCACTTGGCATCTAAAATCTGCAATTATGTAAGAACCTAGGCATTCATGTGTGAACTCCCTCTTTTGCTTGACTACTAAAAGATTCTACTCAAATTACTAAGATCCCTGTGGAAATGCTTTGTTGCTATTTACCACTTTTGTGATCTTGAGGTTTTGGCTTTTGATTAAGGGGAAACAGAATGTTTTATATTTGTCACTAACTTGAAGTGACAAAATTATTAATCTGAAGACAACCCATTACTTGTCTCTGGTTAAAACCAGGTGGCTTAATGATCTAAGAAGGTCTCATAACAATACATAACAATAATGACACAGTTACTAGATATATGAGGAAACTTAGTAAGCATTTTACCTGTGTCATCTCGTTTAATATTTGCAATATTATAAGCTAGGTATTATTTTTAATACTTATAATACCTATTTTTAATATGCATAAACTGAGGCCTGGAAAGCTTAAGTAACATGTCCAAGGTCATACAGAAAAGACCCACTGCAGAACGAGTTATGTCAAGAGTCATAGATTTATTTATCCTGTGCAACTACTTTCTAATTTTATGTTTTTAAGTAATGGAATTCTTCCCCACCCCCCCACCACCTGGCAAACTGTTGCATGGGGGTTCAGTGACTAGGACAGATAGTAGTGTCACAGCTATTGATCAAGCAGGGATTAGGCAGAGTGAAGATCCATTTCCTCGGCCTTTTCCTTTGCTTGCTGTTCTTCCATTGACTCCAAATGGCACCTTTGTAGAACCTCAGGGATCCAAGGAAAACTTCTGCCTCATGAAAAGGAGGCTGGATAGGTGTTCAAAGAGTAGGCAGAAGTTCTGAAAACACCGATCTCTCTCCAAGTAAAAATGAAGGGGCCAGGGACGCTATCCAAATAAGTACAAGAGATCCCACTCAGAGGATTCTGTGCACTATCTTTATAGATTGACCACAGAGGTAAAAATCTGACTATATTTATATAGTAACTTGGGAATCCAAGAAAACGTTTGTACTATATCATACCTAAGTCTCTATAGCTCTAAAATGTCATGATACAATGATCTAGAGTGAACAGTATCAAAGTATTATTTGATATATAATTTTAAAAAACTATTATCTTGCTTCAAAACCTCTAGGTAGTCACTTCTCTAAGTTGGCAATAGGTAACCATGGATAAGGAAGGCAATATAGATATGCATGAAGTCAGAATACTTGTTTTAGGATTCCAGTTCTATAATTACAGGACACCTAACCTTGAAAAAGTTGACTAAGTCATGATCATTAGTCCTAAAATAAAAAGACAAACTGATCTTCTACTTCACAGGTAAAGGTGAAATGATATAAAGATGGTGGAAAATCTTTGGAACTACTAAAGTTGTATGCAAGTACTAACAAACTTAGTAGCAAAAGTACCAAAAGCAGACTTCAGGGTTAAAGGATACCGACAACCTATACCTACTGAAAAAGTTCTATGAGAAAGTATTTGGACACTGAATAGCTATTTGAATTGATAAAATACCCTTAGTCAATGATCTGCCAGTCAAGTGACCCAGCATATTGTCAGAAGCATTCATTCATTACCCATTTGACATCTACCCCAATACATTCATTTTTTACTTATTTTGTCTCCCCAGATAAATTATTTGAATGAAGACATATAGTGAAATTTCCCTTTAGTTTTTGCTGACATCGATACATAGCTATATATCAATTTTTTTTTACAGATTATTAAATTTTAAGCAAACTTGTAAGTATTCTGAATTTTTTCCCAGAGGATATAACGAAAATAAGGTATAAATCATCATGCCTTAAGCCATGTGTGATTTTCTTAAATTTAAACAATTAATTGTAATTATAAAAAGGGAGCAATACAGTTGGTTAAATCAAGAAAAAGATAATTGCTTTAGACTTACTGCTGCATGAAGAACTGAGGCATTGCAATGAGCAGTGTTCCAACTCCCATGATTAGGCACCCTGTTCCAATTATTTTTGGCCTGTGAAGTTTGGCTCCAAAGTAGCTAACAAATGTTATAACTAAGAGATTCCCTTCAGATAAAGAATAAAATGTGCTTCAGTTAGATAAATTAGAAAAAGTCATCAGCATATTAAATGCATGAATGTCTATAGCGGTTCTGGCAATTCTTTGTTTTAACTAAACTGTCTCCCCACCATTCTTCCCATCCTTTCTCTCTTCTCTTTAATCTGAGATGACCGTTGAAATTGTCTCCATGCTCATTACTTCAATTACTTCATCCATTTATCAAAATACTTTAATTATCAACACAACTACCTCATTGTCATCTACCCTGATTATTTGTCCTTTTAAAAGTGTTTTGGGGCGCCTGGGTGGCTCAGTCGGTTAAGCGTCCGACTTCAGCCAGGTCACGATCTCGCGGTCCTTGAGTTCGAGCCCCGCGTCGGGCTCTGGGCTGATGGCTCAGAGCCTGGAGCCTGTTTCCGATTCTGTGTCTCCCTCTCTCTCTCTGCCCCTCCCCCGTTCATGCTCTGTCTCTCTCTGTCCCAAAAAAATAAATAAACGTTAAAAAAAAATTAAAAAAATAAAATAAAATAAAATAAGAGTGTTTTAACAGTAAATCAAATTGTAGAAGAGTTCCTTTAGGTGTTCTCTTAAGTTTTCCTCAATGATTTTGAAGTGAACCTTATTACTGTTTTTTCATTCATTAATATTTTTTTATTAAAACTTGTCAGTTTCCCATTTGCTCTTAAAACATACATTACAAATTCTTGCTTCAGCAGATATTCCTTCTAAAAAAAGTATGATAAACACAACTGTACCTCACTTTATGAAATCAAATTATGAAATTCATATTAGTACAAAAAAGAATTTTTCTGCAAGTAGAAGTTATGCTTTTTGAAAATGTCTCTAGAGAAGCATATGATAAATTACTTTCAGTTGATGATTGTGATGAGTGATTAAATATGCTTTAGGGAAAACGTCCTCATATTTTGCTGTACACAAAAAGGCTGAAAGGTGGTGGTGACAGTAACAGAAACCTTAAAAATGCAGTATCTTGGAAGCTCCCAATAGATTCTGATTCTATGGATCTAGGGGTAGGTCAAGAAATCTGCATTTTTAAAACTAGCTCATATGTGCTGATGGAGATGGTTCCTGAAATATGGTTTGATAAACATTGTTTAGAATCTTAGATTTCAAAAGGCTTAAAGTTTCAGTTCTTTGCATTTGGAATAGTCTTTAAAATCTTCAGTGCTAGATAGAGTAAGAACTTAGCAATTCCCCAGCAATTGATTGTGATGGCTGATGGATAGTGCTGCTTTGAAGCTTTCTTCGATGTTTCCAATTTTCGAGCAAGACTGTGTTTGCTTACATCTGTAAGCAATCATCTAATTTACTACTGTTTGTTCACATTGCCAGCTTTAGTCAAGTGCAAAAAGAGTAGCAATTTTTATAGACTTGAGGACAATAATGACAGTGAGAAAATTAGCTTGCACAGTGGCTCTAGGTTTTATGGCTTCAGAAAGAATTAAACTTGTTTTAATTTTCACAGGGGAAAAAATATTGAGTATGAGATTTCTCATTCGGTATTTAAGCATTTAGTAGAAGAAACTTTGTATCATATTACATTGATAATTATGTCTATACTTTTGTTAATGTGTCACAGTGAATAAGCCAAAGTAAAGTAAAAGCTGACCTTCAGTTATAGGTAATGTATCCCTGCAACCAACATTACCTATTCTCCCTAACTCCCACACCACCAACACTTCACAATAAAGAACTCATGTTTACAGACTGTTTCTGTGTTACATTAGTGAGTATGCCAAAGACTACATAATACCATTTTAGCATCTATGATATCTATAGTGTTTTTGCTTTCTTTACTTTGTATCCCTCTGAGTTCTCAGAAGATACACATAGAAAATAAATGGCAATAAGTAATCTCTAAAAAACTAAATTGGTTATCAAAATTCTTTCACATTTACTATCACTAGCTTCTGAAAAAGACAACAGATCTAGAGTGTTTTAAAGTGGTTTTAACAAGCTTTTAAGGAACAGATTCTCCCCACCTTCTCTTTCTTCTTTTCTCTCAACACACACACACACACACACACACACACACACACACACACACACACACAAAGTACTTAGATAACAGAAAAGAAAGCCATCCAACTCATAAGACTTATATACCCTTGAAACCAAAACTAGACAAGGACAATGAAAGAAAGGACCAAATGCAATTTGTTCCAGAAGTGCAAGGGTACCACCAAATAAGATAAAAATATATATATTAATTTAATCAATGTATTAAATTAAAGAAGGAGAAAAATTCCATGGTTATCCTAACAGATGTAGTAAATACATCCAATATAATTAACCACTCATTTATGATCAGAAAAATATTTGAGCATATTAACTTTGAAAGTATATCTACCAGGCACACCTGGGTAGCTAAGTCGCTTAAGTGTTCACCTTTTGATTTTAGCTCAGGTCATGATCTCATGGTTTGCGAGATCAAGCCCCACGTAGGGCTCTGCACTGACAGTGTGGAGTCTGCTTGGAATTCTCTCTCTTTGTCCCTCCTTCACTCATGCTAATTGATTAAACATTTAAAAAAAAAAAATAAAGTGTATCTACCATATTACACTGCACACATATTACTTAATGGTGAATTTGTAAAAGCATTTTCATTAAGGTCACATATGAGAAAAGAATGCCCATTGTCACTGCTTCTATTTAAGATAGTACTGAAGCCAAGGCAATAAGGCAAAAACAAACAACAGATCTAAGTATTGGAAAGAATAATATAAAACTGACTTCTGTCTCAGACAATATGATGGTCCATTCAGAAAACTCTACTATAGACATCTATAGACAATTAAAATGACACACATTTATACTATAAAGAATCCTGGGGCACCTGGGTGGTTTAGTTGGTTAAGTGTCTGTCTGCCTCTTGGTTTCAGCTCAGGTTATGATCTCATAGTTGGTGAGTTGGTGCTGCTAAGCATAGAACCTGCTTGGGATTCTCTCTCTCCCTCTCTCTCTCTACCCTTTCACTGGTTGCTCTCTTTCAAAATAAATAAATAAACTTAAAAAAAGGAAAAATAAAAGAAAATCCTAAAGACTGCATAAAACAACTACTAGAAATAATAAATAAATGCAGTAAAGTAACAGGAAACAAAATAAATAACCAGAAATTGGTAGCATTTCTACACAATAATGACAAAAGAGAAGAAAAGAGAAATTTTAAAAACAACACCATTTACAACTGGACTAAAAAGAATAAAATATGTAAGAATAAACTTAACGAAAGAGGCGAAAGAAGTATACTTCAAAAACCATAAAACACTGATGAAAGAAACTGAAGATGACAAGGATACCTGGGTGGCTCAATAGATTAAATATCTGACCTTAGTTTTGGCTCAGGTCATGATCTGATGGTTCATGAGTTCAAGCCCCAGCCGGGCTCTGTGCTGACAATTGCAGAGCCTGCTCTGTCTCTCCCCCACTTGTGGGCACGCTCTCTCTCAAAATAAACAAACATTTAAAACTGCTTTAAAAAAAACAAATTGAAGATGACAAAACCAAATGGAAAGATATTCCATGCTCATAGATGGGAATAATTAATATCATTAAAATATTCATATTACCCAAAGCAATCTACAGACTCAATGCAATCCTTGTCAAAATACCAACACCATTTTTCACAAAACAAGAGAAAATAATACTAAAATTTGTATGGAGCCACAGAAGACTAGTGATCTTGAGAAAGAAGTACAAAACTGGATGTATCACAAAGTAGATTTCAAGATAACTACAAAACTGTAGCAATCAAAACAGCATGGTATTGGCACAAAAAATAGACACAGAGATCAAAATAACAGAATAGACACCCCAGAAATAAACACAATTAAATGGTCAATTAATTCACAACAAAGGTAGCAGAAATATATAATGGGGAAGACAGTGTCTTCTATAAATGGTGTTGGAAAAACTGGACAGCCATATGTAAAAGAATGGAGCTGAACCACTTTTTAATACCATACATCCAAATAAACTCAAAATGGATTAAAGACCTAAATTTGAGATCTGAAATAATAAAAGTCCTAGAAGAGAACACAGGTAGTAATTTCTCTGACATTGGCTGTAGCAAGATTTTTCTAGATCTGTCTCCTCAGGTAAAGGAAACAAAAACTAAAATAAACTATTGGAACTATATAAAAATAAAAAGTATTTACACAGGAAAGGGAACCATCAACAAAACAAAAGATAACCTGCTGAAGGGGAGAAAATATTTGCAAATGATATATCTGACAAGGGTTAATATCCAAAATATATAAAGAATTTATATAACTCAACACCAAAAAAAATCTGATTAAAATATGGGCAGAGGAGCTGAATAGACATTTTTCCAAAGAAGACACACAGATGGCCAACAGACACATGAAAAGATACTCAACATCAGTAATCATCAGGGAAATGTAAATCAAAACCACAATGAGATATCCCCTTCCACCAGTTAGAATGGCAACTATCAAAATGACAAAAAATAACAAGTGTTGGCAAGGATGTGGAGAAAAAGAAAACCTCATGCACTGTTGGTGGGAAGGAAAATTGGTACAGCCATGGTGGAAAATAGTATGGGGGTTCCTCAAAAAATTAAAAACAAAAATACTACAAGAACAAATAATTTTACTGTTGTGTACTTATCCAAAGAAAATGAAAACCCTGATTAAAAAAGATGTATGCACCCTTATGTTTATTGTAGCAGTATTTACAATATCCAAGATATGGAAGCAACCCAGATGTCCATTCATAAATGAATGGATAAAGGAGGTGTGCACGTACACACGTACACACACACACACACACACACACACACACACACACACACGGGAATATTATGCAGCCATATAAAGGACAAGACTTTGTCATTTAGGACAATATGGATGGACCTAGTAGGTATACTGGTAAGTGAAATAAGTCAGACTGAGAAAGAAAAATACCATATGATTCTACTCATAAGTGAAATCTTAAAAAAAATGAATAAAAAGCAGAATCAGAC